TTATTTGGGTTAAGGTTTGGACGTGTCTATAAAATGTAAAATTTTCTTGAGGCAAATAAAGATGAAATGAAATTAAATTGGAGAAGCAAAGTTTTCACCAATCCACCAAAGCGAAAGAAAACATTAAAAACTTATTTAAAATTCTTCAATTACTGGATTGTTTGACAACGGAAGACAAATGATCTGCTGAAATCTGTTTTTCAGTTAACCAGCTGATGAACACCAACATGAATTTTATCTGGTAGATCCACCACTACTAGTTTATTGACTCAAAATTGATAAAATTCTTTTGAATAGCCTATAAAGGAAATACCTGTTCGACTATACCAACTTCTCTAAAGCTTTCAACAAGCTTGATCATAATATTATCATAGCTGAGCTCCTAGTATTAAGTACCGATGATAAAATTTTGAAACGGATATGGATTTACACACATCGGAAAAGTCTAGGGATATTTTTAAAAATGGCAATAAAATATTTCTCTCTTCGGTATGTTTGTGAAAAGAAAAGTCGGAATAAAAGTACAGAGTGGACTAACGCAATAGCTGTGTAGCTATCTGTTGATCATGAGATGTTTTATAGTAGACGGGGGTCAATAGAGTGTCCCCAGAATCTACAGATCTAAGATTTTTCATAAAATCAAAGGTCTATGAATCAGAAACCCGAATTTTATTTTTTTGCACGCCACTGGCCATTTCTTTTCAACCAGTCGTTAAACCGACTTGAAGACGGAACCTAATAGATTCAAAATCGAAAATAAATCGAAGGTGATGTGTCGCATGCATTACAAACTTTTTTTTTTGTATTTGGAAATAATACCCAATTCCTACCCCCTTTTCCACCCGCCATGAACCATTTGCAACACACATAACCTTCAATTTAATTCGCCGGGTTAGGTGTTTTCGGTATTTCTGTACTCAATCTGCTGGAAATGTATTCATAATTTCATTGTTGATCGGCAAGTAACAAGTGATTTTCTAAATAATTCGCCGGCGTTTTTCATTCGCACCGATAAAGGGCGGCTTTCTTTGAGAACTCAAAGATCTCCCCTCTTCCTCTATTTGACTGTCTTTGAAACTACTCTTCCGCAATTTTTTGTCTTCCTGACCAAAATTCAGTTCAATTCAAGAGGTGGTGTAGAGCAGTTGACAGGAAAAGGATTTGTTATTGATTTGTGTGTCGTGACATTTTTACACTATTGGATGATTCCCAAGGGAACAATTATTAAAGTGAAATATGATTTCTCCAAGAACATGAATTGCAGGTATGGCTTTTTCAATAACGATCAGTCATGTTGATATTTTTTCAACAGTTTTGTATTTCATGTTATATACAATGGTGATGGGGACATGTTTTCTATCGGCGAATAGAAATGTAATTAAATGTCGCAAAAAAATTAATGAGTAAGACGCTAAAAATGTATGACTTTGGAAAACACTGTGAACAATTGATGCCACGCCATATAAATCAAAATTTTGAAAAATTGATTGTAAATTATATAGCAAGTAACATGAACATCTCAAATTCCATCAACTATGTGAGTTTGTTTGCAGAATTATTCGTTCAAATATTGACTGCAAAATCAAGTTTTTATAATGAAGAAATTGTGAAATCGAAATAGGTCTTGAACTGCAGTTGTAGCGCGTCCTCGCCATGGATGTTGTTCGGCTGGACTGCCAGTTTCACGGAAACGCCGCCACAATCGACTGATAACACTTTGGGAGACCCCCAAACGAAGAGCTACATCATTTTGTCGCATGCCACCTTGAAGAAGCCCTACAGCTCTATTCATCTCAATATTAGATATTTCTTCTTCAATTAGCTCTATTACCTTCTCATCAAATTTTATTTGAGGCGTACACATTCTCGAACCATCAGTCCACCCTTTAACTGTGTCGTTAGTGTCATATCCAATTCTGAAGAGTTTTGTCACATCAGCTCACATTATGGCCGGAAGTATTCAATTTCTTCCTTATGATTTCAGTTGTAAGAGTCTCATTGCTTTTGTAACAGTCGTATATTGTTTTTTTCAATGATTTTATTAGATGAACATCTAAAGGTTTTGGTAATCTCGTAACACATCGCGTCTTGCGTTAATAAGGTTTGTTTTTCACTATTTTATGACTATGTCCCACTCGTTATTACTATTAGTACTTCACCATGGACGCCACATTTCAAACAGATAACAAAAATTTCAAGTAATTATGACTGCACCAATATTGAATTTCATCAATTCGCGATCAGTTGGCCTTTGAGAGTGTCGCCAACTTTAAATGTGCACAATATCGTTTACTTCGACTATAGCTGCAAATTTTTTAGCCATTTAATGGATGTCACTATGGCCAATGGAATTATCAAACGAATTACTGATGAATTCTATCAGCTTCTGATACTACTGCTTTAATTTCTGCAGTGTACTTGTAAGAAATGAAATTGTGGGTTTTTCCATATGATTCTTGATGTTAACAAAATTTTTGAATTTTTTTCTTTTCGATTTCAACTATCATATACGCTGTTTGACATTAAAATGCCACAATGATCATTTCTGTTACTGTTTTCTTTTTGCCTTGTGGTTTCAGACTTGATTCGCTCAGTTTTCCAGTAAAATCTGCTCGAAATTCTATATCACACTGCCAGTCGAAACCACGGAAATCGAAATCACTCTCTTCAAGAAATTTTATTATTTCGTGCAGCATTTGATGATTACGTTGCGTATTAATTTTTTTACCTTGCCACGATCGACTGGACTAATAGTCCGGTCAATCGCGAACGACCGGTTGGTCACCCCTGTATTATAGAGTGTGTTGTAACGAAAACATGTTTCTCCCTGTAACTAAGTATGCTAATTTTCAGGCAATCATTTCGGGCTTTATCGCAGAAATTTTGGCTCTTCATATAACGGAGATTGCGTTGTGTTGTTTATAAAAAATAGTGGGTTCTGCCAGCCGTTAAGCTGGCAACAATTTCAGACTCTTACAAACTATTGATTGATTCCTTTCTCCTAGTTTGAATTTGATATTTGGGTGACTACCTCAACAACGCGCGATAAAAGCGAAAATTCAAACGTAGAGCAAAACGTATTCAATACCGTAAGACTGAGTGAACAAAATGTTTTCTTCTGTGGTTGGGTTCTGCTAACTTAACGTTAAACTGGTAGAACCCACGATAATTGTTACTGAATTGAGGAGCAAAAAATTCTAGAATAGGAAACGATGGCCTGAAAGTAGATGTCAAAATTCAAAGTGATTCTGCTTGCTCAATAGGGGTAGATAATACCATCACGTTTTAACAAAGTTATGTTTTGTTAGCACCCAGATCACGTCGTTCTCGCTAAATAAATTCGCTGTACTTTGCTAATGTATGTTGATCAAGCAAATATAGTGAATAACTTTTGGAGGGAATGACAGATCTGGAATAAGATTAGTGCGAACAAAACACCGTATGTAAAAAACTTTAAATTTATAACTTAGACCGGAATTCGAAACTCACATTTCACTATGTGATTTCTGAACAATTATAAATTGCTTAAAAAAAATTAACATGCAATAGTTTATTTGCAAAATCGGTGCAGCAATAAAAGCTTGTGGCAAGACAAAACAATTTTCCGGGAAATCTGTATCACCAACGTAATACTTGGGAAAACTTAACGATAATAAGACATTTTTTATTCACTACTATGTCATCAACTATATCTTTTTCATACAGAAATTTTTGCTTACTTCAAGTGAAACTGGAAAAATATTCAATTCCGATATCTTAAATTTGATATTGTTCTCTCGCGAATTCAAATTTCGATGTTGATTTTAACTTAATATTTTGATGTTCCTATGAATGGATAACCCGGCATTTTAATGGTTACCAACATTATGAGCTCTATCGGAAAATGTGGGAGGCTAAAGAAAATTGTCATCTCATGGAACATTGTGAAATTGGATTTATTTGAATTTTGTCAGGAATCTGTAATTCAACGTTTACTACAATTCGCAATCCAAAATCGTAAATTACTGCTACAATGGCTATTTGTATTGGCGCATGATCTTTTTTTCACGGAACGAATGGTAATTTTATCATGTTCTGTTGGTACTCACCGTTATCAGGTTATGAAATGAGAAAAACAATAAAAAACATATTTTGAAACCTAAAAACGCCTTTCATCCTCTTTAGATATGTCAGCTCTCATGCGTTTTAAGATATACCGGAAGATACACTTATCTGCTAAGGATTTGAACATGTCTACTACAATCTTTGGTAATGAAATACTATAATGACGAAGGCAGTTTTTAAATGGGGGATTAGGTTTTTCTCAAAGGTACATTATTATGCATCAAGTTATACGCCCAGTAACGGTAAAATTACGTCGAAGATTTACGTAAATTAAAATTTTTGGACGAGAAGATTNGAAGTGAATATTAAAAATTTATACAGGGTAAGAAAAAGTGACAATTGACATATTTAGGTCCTTAGTGGACAAGTGTATATTTTGGATCGTTTTTATCAGTTGCAATACATTCCAAAATGTAGGATTATTGGAAATTATGGGTTTCATAATGTCCTGACTACGCTCGTATCAACTTTGGTGAACTTCATCCAACATATCTGTCTCGAAGTCGCCTCATACAACCTAAATTGGCATTTTCATTAATCTAAGGCCTATTAGTAAGCATAAATCAGATTCTCGGGCCTCTATTATTACTTTAGAGTTCGTGATATCGTTAATTTAGCTTGCTCGTGGTGACGCCAGGTTTCAAAAAACTACTATAAACTGGTTAAAGAACCAAAAATTGCTTACTTACATGACTTTTTGTGATAATTGGGTGACCTATAACCATTATGCCTTCTATTATAGTTCGGTGACTTGGATCCCGATCTGCTTTTATGCCTGTACTCCGGCGAGTCCCTTCTCAAAGGTTCAGGGGAGATGCTCATACTTCTTCCACGAGGAGAGTAATCTCGCGATCTTTCCATTTTCAGAGATGACTCAATAACTATTTTCACAAAAATGTCACAAAAATACGAAGAGAACGTGTCCTTTATTATCAGATGATCAACAATTTCGAATATACTCTGAGTTTCCGAATCTAATATGGCGAACACTCCAGCGATAGGAATAACACTGAATGTACATTTCCTCTTAAAATTCACGGTATTATCTCGAGATAGTTAGTAGTTTCATTGAGGATTCGTTATTGGCACAAAATATTTTGATTTCAAAGGCGACATGTTCATAAATTATACAGAAATTTGAAATAAAATATCACTTCAACTTCACATTCTACGATTTAATACCGAACCGACTGACAAAAGCGTAGATAGAATGGATCTGAACCCGACAAAAGCGCCTGCGTTAGGTTGATACCTATTTATACCCAGAATTCATTAAGGAACTTATGTCCAGGTAATATTAAGATATTCTAGTATCAGGTACATTCAAGAAATTCGTACGAACGTGAAGGAACTACTATTGTTTCTAATATTCGTTTTCATTTCATATAAACTCAAAATGAAGCCCAAGTTGATGATCTTAGTTACCCTTGACATAAGAGCTATTTTGAAACTTTGTATATATTTATTGATCAGTTCCTGTAGATGTTGCAGAGTTGCCAAATTTTCAATAGTCACTGTGATTGGCGACTTTCATTCAATACTCGGAACACTGACATTCCCAAAATAATGTTTAATGTATAATGGCTTTATAGAGGAGTCAACAAATTCGTAAAATAGACAATATTCGGAAGGTCTTAGAAACACCTCCGATTATGATTTTTTTATTTTTGTTTTATTACATTGTTTCTGATCAGATAAAACCTTTTGAAGCGGAAACATAACTCATAACTCATTTCGATTGGTAGAATTGGAACCTCTGTAGTGAAATGAATCTATTAAAAACAATGTTCCCATATAATGGCGGGGATAATATAGACTATATCATCTCACCTAGTCGCTTTGAAAAATTGAATGGGAGGTCCTTTTGAGATTTCGTAATGAAAATTAATTCTGTAACTCGATTAGAGTTCCAAAATGATTCTCTCGCAGATATTTGCTTTGGTTATTGAATCAAATATTATTTTATGTAGGTACTCTATGTGAATTCAAAAACACATTTGCTTTATTAAATACTATATCCCTTTCAATGATACATCCTACACTTATATGTAACAAACTGAGTTGTATAGTGTTCTCAGTGATATACTAAATTGACAATTTATTCTAGGCAGTAACAGCTTGACAGGAATTAAAGTCAGTTATTGTAGGTCGATGCACCTTCATTTGCTTGTTAATGAAAAGCGACTCTGTTTGCAAATAGCCTAACAATAATACGCTTTAATCACTGTCGAGTACCTACCTATTCTATTGAAAACACTTTCCCATTAAGACTGGTCATAATGATCTCCTGAGGACGCTATCTTGGTTAGCGAAACGCGCGTCGAGAGACCGTATATCTCTGAAAACACTTTACGTCATCGTTTTAAAGCTATCAAAAACACTAACATAACAATTATCCTCTGTTTGAATAGAGGTAACATTGATAAACCAATTATTACTTCACATATTTTGCCCCCAACAACTCATGTTGGCGATTTTTGTATGAAATAATACGTCATTGAAGAGTCAATCAGCAAACCATGTGATTTCATATCTATTTTTTTGTTCAAAGATCTTAGTTTGGTACAGGAGAATCAGTTTTGTATCAAAATAATCACAGAAATTTTGCATGTAGAATGTGTTCCCGTTTGATTAGAAACCAAACTTGCTGAGAATATATTTTTTTTGTTATTTTTGAAAAATCTTCACCATGTCTAATGATGTTTTTATTACCATAGTCGATTGTATAAATCATGTCGTCGATTGTATAAATCATGTCATTCCCATACCAGAATAATTCCTAAGTCCTTCATTTCGTTGCCTTCATTCAGCTGACCTCTTTCGTCTTTTTAATTATATTTTGATGTATGGTGATGAGGTTTTTTGCTTCTATTCAGGTGAAATAGCAAATTTGACACCAAAAATCAATAAGTGACCCCGACCTTGACACTTATACCAGTTACCTTATGAAATATACTAATTCACTAAAAAATGCTTTGTTGTACTTCTATTTTATAAAGCGTATCAGTGTAACTTAATAGAATGCTCACCAATCATGCTTACCACTCATCTCTGTGAAAAATTAACTCAAAATCAACAATGGCCAATACCCCTAAAAATGACAAAAACAAATATAACTTGTAAATCGTTACCCATACTTTTTTCTCATACATGTAAATGACTATCGACTGAAAAGAGGAGGAACTCGGTAAAGTTTTCGACACTGAAGGAGGTGATCACAACTCTGTCACCGAGTTGGAACCTGTGCAGCAAAAAATCCCAATTAAAAGTCGCATACACCACTTCACTCCTGCGGAAACACAAAGATAAACCAATGCACGGGGTCTTCTTTAACAATCTTACAGACCTCGGCCTTTCAAAGCATCTGATCATGGCCTTCCTCAGGTCGAGTGGGCTAAAGTCGGAAAGTGAGGGGTGAGGGTGACTATGACACCATAGTCTACCGTAGTCGCGTGATTTGTATAGAATTTCCTGACACAAGGTGCAGGGCCTGCCGCTAGGCGCCTGGACCCTGATGCACTTGCTGTCAGCATATTCGGTCTCAGCCTATATCCATTGATATAACGCGGCCCTAAGAGTGCACTTTCACGGTATTGAGTCACCGGGGGATATTGAATCCGTTGTGGGGAATGAGAAGTGCCGAATTTATTGGAACTATTGATTCTCCACCCTCAGGCTCATACAAGCTAATGAGCCTGATGTAGACCTTTTCGACCACCAGAGCAAGACGATATTTGTCATGGAGTTTTAGCTCCTGGCTAGACGAATATCGTCCGAAAAGAGAAGGAAAAACGGACGAAATATCGAGGTTTTCTCTTCGAACTTCGCAGACTCTATCCAGACCACCCTGCTAGGCGGTTTTTCTGATTATTGAAGTCTTTGGTGGAATGATACTCTCTCTACTCTGGAATCATGCGATTGCCGCACTAAGGCAGGCACTGTGCTTACTTAGGGCACATAAGTCTCGAAGCCAATGATCACATGGTCATTGGTTGACGATGTTGGCGCGTCCTCTGGCGCTTCATTGGAAAATGTTAGCACGGGGACAGATATCGAGCAGCGCAACCTTGTGAAAATAATAATAATGCAATACATTCGTGGTTCAGCTTAGCACCGTCAATGAGAAGTATGGTGGGTCGATACGGCGATGTTTGGTCTTGGATTACACATGCTTTGTTTATGGGCTCTGGTTTCACTTACCAACTCAGCCATAATAAATTAGTCATTAGTACATGTTTTTGTATTACCACCGCATTTTTAAAGGAAAGTGATATTTAATAGTACCAAAAANTAGTTTCGTATGCTATAAAAGCGTGTTTTTTAGTCTTTTTAAACTATATTTATTTTTTCTAAACTTTGGGATCAATCATCCGTATATTGTTTAGAAAAAAGACCATTGATATTTTCTGATTCCGGAGGGGGAGCCTGAAAATCAGCTACCAAGCCCAAGACAGCAGGCGCGCAAAGGAGGGTTACAAATAAGGCAGTAGGCGCGCATCTTAATAAAAAAAATCCATTTTTCAAATGAATAAATACATGTAAATTGAGTTAGAGTTATATCAAGGATTTTATGTACAGCGCAATCTGCCCGCGAATAGATCAAGCAATAATGTTGATATATCAAGGAGGTTATGTACAGCGCCATCTGCCCGCGAATAGATCAAGCAATAATGTTGATATATCAAGGAGGTTGCGTACAGTGCCATCTTCCCGCGAATAGATTAAACAATAATGTCGATAATTCTATCAAATACAGATCCCTAGCTTGAGAGTTACAAACAAACATAGATACAGGTGAAGCTAATTTAAAGCGTGTAAAAAGAACACGTGTTTCGCTATACAATAGCTTCTTCAGGCGTGGCTTTACTGTAAAGCCTCGAAGAAGAGCTCCGAAGTGGTCAACTTACAGTAATCCAGAACGAAGATTCGAGGACGCTGGTGGAGACTGACCCACCACAAACGGTGCTGGGATGGTAGAAGAACTGAACGTCAGCTCCCATGCGGTTTTTGATAGTTCAAAAGGTCAAAATTCTCGAACTTGTGTTGGCAAACATGCACTGATTCAAATGACACTCATTTCAACTAAATTGAATAAATATTCACTGAAATATTACAGTTTAAAGGAGACTCATTATAAAGGACAAAACTTTTCAAACAACCCAATATATATAATAGGCAGTTTCAGCTGTTTATTATAGCTAACCAACAGTTTGAAATTATCAAATACTAACAGCGGAAACCTCGCAATTTATGTTTTGGCTATTTAGGAAATTTTATTGTTACTAGCACTGCATAGAAGTGTTACGGTGTTACGGTGTTACGAGTCATCTAGTCAATAGATAGCGCCTTTGTAGGAGGTAGTTGTGACACAGAACTATTCTGTGGTTGTGACGGACAGTCGGAAGGTATCTTACCTAACGAAGGGCTTCTATTTCTCACAATATTTGTGATGTTCTCATCTCTTGTTTCTTCGAAATACTCAAATTCAAAAAAACTCCATTAGACTTTGAAATTTCTGAGAGTCTTACAAATATTTAGGAAAACTCAAATACAGTCGTATTCAATCATCAATAATGACATAATGTATGAATGGACTGACGCGTTACTTGATGAAAATTAATAACACCATCGATGATAATTACAAAATTTTCACAAATATTTTAATTTCTAGACGCGTTTCTCTTACACCGTACCTTTCCGGTAGAGGCTACGAGGGTGATACAGTCACAGAACTATTCTGTGCTACGGTGTTAGCGAAACGCGTCTAGAAATTAAAATGTTTGTGAAAACTGTAATTATTGTCATGGATGATGATACAATGGACTTGAGTCATGATGATATTCGAAAAAATACCTGAAACTCGACCATTTTTTTAGTATGACAACTGACAACTGAACATTCTGATCATAACCTTAATATCGGAGCTAACCGATCATTTTTTTTTACTCGATCTAAATACCGAACACAAAGCAGATGTAACTTAGAACAGATCTGCATTATTGAATGCTTGACGAGCTATTAAAACGTTCAGAACACATATAATATAAAATGTGATCATTTAATATAAATCTAGCTCGGCAAGCGTGGTAGGAGTGTTTTGGGGATAATACAGATTTGTTGTCTCAGATCCGCAATGTTTTCAGTATTAACGAGAGCAGGTAAAAAATGTTATCGTTAAACTCCGAGATTAACGTTAGGAACAGAGAGACTTTTTAGTTGTCATATTGAAAAAAAGTTGGTTGTCACTTGTCTCCTTTGTCACTGTCTTCAAAAAAGAGTTAATGACACACAAACTTACTTGATCATATGTCGGAGGTTTTGTTTTGTGATGGCAAATACTATCACAGTCAGCTTGTCATTCAGAGATACCTAAATTTTGACAAGTGACAGACCTTCTCTGTTAAAAATTGTAAATAAGGGAAGTTAGGGTCCATTTATTCCCTTGTTAAATCCCGATCACCACTCTGCATTTACTCAACTCGTTTTTTTGAGTGCACCGCTCTACTCTAAGGCAAATAAGTGATAATTTTCCGTGCCCTTGCGGTATTGTGTCTCTGCATATACAGGGTGTCCTGACATCATACACTTGTTATATTTAGGGATGATAAATATCATGGCGTTCTTGTAACCTCAAAAACAACCAGAATTTTTCTGGTTTGTGATGTTGCAAATGCCGCCACCAAAGTATTGTAGAATAAAACAAATAAATATATCACAATTAATTTATTTAGTTTTCAACTCAAATGCCATTGAATGGTAACAAATGAAAGTAACGACTAGTTTTTGACAAAAAGTGATGTATTGAAAATTGTAAGCACATAAATGACATCTCATGTCTAATATCTCGATACAAAACAAAGACGATATGTGGCCCCTGTACACTAACAGCTTTTTTTACCTTTAACATATTTTATAATTTTTTTCTCATTTCATAAATTTGTATTTTTTTTTGTATAAAAATTTTTTGGTTATCATTTGGTTTTTTTGATGATATGGGGGGATAAGCAAGTACTTTAAAATATTTTTAAACAAATATACCCAGCATCGAAGGCTTCAAATTCCACTTTGAAGTTTACAACACTGAATTCAAAAAAATTCATATAAAATATACAAGTACAGGTACTGCTTTCATAAAACATGCTACCATCGCTTATTCCACTCATATCAGGAATTTCATAGGTTTTGATATTCACATACACACCTAAGTATATTTAGGGCTTAACGAGACGTTAATGTATATTATTGCAAGACTACAAAAACCATATAGTTCAAAACTAATTGTCAGCAAAGAGACCCTATTCTACAAGACCGTAAGGACGACAAATTACAAAGACATTGGGAAAAATAAAACAATTAAAACCGACGAAAACTGAGATTCAAACTTGCTCGTCACAAAATTACATTCTCAAGCAAGATTACAGATTTATCCTTACATATCCTGTTTTGCGAATAAGACCCTGATCTTGCAACAAATATACATTTCTCGACATCAATCAAAAAACTTAAACTAAGAACCAAAAAAACAAATAAATGTGTTTACTCATTGACATCAGGGTAAGTTTAATTGGTACGCATTTTTTTGTGGAAACGGTTATTGGCCAAAGTTTTCTCTTGGATAGTGTCGAGAGGCAGATGGTAGTTGCGGTTTCGCTTGCCTTTACTGAAGGTGGAGGAAGAGAAACGCCACATTAAATTCTGGCTGTGCTTGGTACGATCTTGGTTGTCATACTGTTTAAGGACTTTTGATGCATTGCTGGAACAGTTCACTAGTTCAGTGGTCTTTATCTGAAACAAAATATTGAGTAGCAGTAGATCATAAAGAATGTGATATTAGGAAAAGTGGACTTTTATATTTGAGAAATAATATATAAATAAAACAATCAAATAGAAACACGCACGCTAAACGGTCGAAAACGCACGGAAAACGGTCGAACACGCACGGAAAACGGTCGAACACGCACGGAAAACGGTCGAAAACGCACGGAAAACGGTAGATCATTGCTTCTATTAGTTGAATTGGCTGTGCCATGAAAACCCTGTTGTTCATCTACTTACTAATATTTTTCGTTCGTTATTGTTTTAAGCTTATTTAAAAATAAAATATTTTCAACTTTTCAGTTCGATTTCCTTTGAAAGCGTGTTTTTTAGTTTTTTAAACTATATTTATTTTTCATTTTTTAGTTTCGTATGACACTCATTTCAACTAAATTGAATAAATATTCACTGAAATATTACAGTTTAAAGGAGACTCATTATAAAGGACAAAACTTTTCAAACAACCCAATAATTTGCTGTGATGATCATTACTTTTGATTTGGAAACATAAAGTTTACATTTATTGCCTATCAAATACTGGTTAATCTTTTTCAAAACTATACTCATCTTATGAAAGCAATATTAATTTTCTCAAAGGAACAAGCTAACAGTATTGTCTGCAAATAGGCTATTAAAACCACAATCAACAAATAAATGTATATCATTTAGATTCAAATATAGTAACGGACTTAATAAACTACCCTGTGGAACTTCTAGTTCCATGAAATACATCGTCGGAGAAAATATCTTTGACTATAACACTTTGCCTTTATTAGCCACTCGAACATATACATGAAATGACAGTTTTCTTTGAAAATCGATTGAAAAAACTCCTGGGTCTTTAAAAATTGCGATGATTATCAATTATTTTTGTTAACACAACCCCTTACCTTGCATTTAACTTGGATATCTCGGATCATCGCCAGAAGATGTATGAATTCTCCAATCTTGTAAACCTTTTTTACTGCAATTGCTTGAGTCATTACTTTCTCAATCTCTAACCTCAGCAAGGCGAGGGCCAAGGTAGATGACCGGAAAAAGGCGCAGTTGCTATCTGCCAGCAGAACTTCCAGACGTGTGAGCAGTTGTTCATCCTTCAACTGCTGCCTGTAAAAGTTTCAGATTTGGGTCAGTCTCTCTAAGAATCTCACTTCATAACTGAGTATTACTGATGTTTGCATCAATAATCGAGCAACAGTAATTTGCACCAGTCATGTTAAAATTTTTATAGCAAATTTTCAATTTCTCTCTAAAAATGTCCGAATAAGTAAAAATGTATCAGAAAAGTTAACCTCCATGATGAGTTTGTTATGTATACATGAATTGATGAGAATTAACCGAACTTGTTT